GGGGGGGTGGAGAGGAGAGGGACAGGCAGAGGGAATCAGTCCAAAAGCCAAGCTTGTCAACTTGTCCGTGAGCCCTTGCTTTAAGGCAACGCCCTGGGGCTGGGAGAGGGGTGGTGTGGAAGGCCCAGAAAAAAAGGCAACAGAGGGGGGGTCTGCCTGAAGAAGATAGCCAAGGGTGGGGCCCAGGCAAGACCCCCTTCTCTGGTTTAGGGGTGGGACCCATGGCGACAGGCAGTCCCAGCACAGGGAGGGTTAAGCATCCTCAATCCCCACCCTGCTCTGGCCCCTCCAAGTGTTTACATCCTTCCAGAAATATTCAGCCTCCTTTCTGTGCCTCAGTCTTTCCCCTGCAGTTATACTGAGGGGAAGGGATGAGGGCCAGAGGCTGGGACCTAGGAGCCAGTAGACCCAGGGTGGGGAGAGGAAGCTGAGGGGGGCTCTAGGGGCAACTGGGGCAGTGGGGGCAGAGAAGGGGCCAGAAAAGGTGGGCAGGGAGGGAGAGAGGAGCAACAGGAGTGTTTCCCTGTCGTCCAAGGACAAGAGCCGACTCAGTACCTACCCAGGACAGGGCCAGACCAGGGCTGAGCTTGATCCAGGAACAGTGGGAGGCAGGGTGGGGAAGAGGGAAGGACAGGGGAATACCAGGGGAATTTTGGCAAAGGGCCACGCCCTGCCCCTCCACCTTTGCCCAGAGCTCTGCTAGGCCACCCCAGTGCAGGGCCGGGGGGGGGGTGGTGGCTCCCCTGGCTGCTATGAAGAGCTGAGGATCACACACACCCTTTGCAGGACCAGGGCGACTGAGGTGAAGTCATGTGGCAGCTGCTGCTCCTGCTGGCCCTGTGGCTGGGCACAGTGGGCTTGGGCAGGGCCGAGCTCACAGCTGCCCAGCACCAGGGCCTGCAGGTGGCCCTGGAGGAATTCCACAGGCATCCGAGGGTGCAGTGGGCCTTCCAGAAGACCAATGTGGACAGTGCAATGGACATGGTTAGCAGCCCCACCCCTGGGAGGGAGGGGGCCAGGGCTGCACCCCAAGAGACCCAGGAAGTGGCTGCAAAGGTGCCTGGGTTCTGTGAGCACCCAGATCTCTGGAGAAGGGCCACTGCCCCAGCCACCAGCTTGGATGTGCTGCTTCGCTGCGGGGAGGAGGGACAGGTCACATCCAGGAATTGCTCTGCCTGCTCAACAGGCTGCGGGCCTTCCTCTGTCTGTCTGTCTGTGGGCAGCCCTCCCAGGTGGGGACCTTCGTGAGGCTGGAATTTACCCTGCAGCAGACGGACTGCTGGAAGAAGGACTGGAGGAAGGCTGAGTGCAAGGTCAAGCCCCATGGGGTGAGTGAGACGACGCACGAATACGTGGGTGATGGGGCACCGGCTCAGGTGCCGGTGTGTGTAACTGGGTTTGGCTGGAGATCCTGCTATAAGCCCTGAGGTTGGAGACCCCCCTATGGAGCCTGTGGCAGTGACAGTGTGGGTGGCCTGGGCCTGGATGAGCAGGAGCGAGAGGCGGGCTGCTCTGATGGAGGACAACTTCACCCAAGTTCCTCTCCCAGGCTCCAGGTCATAGCTGAAGCCCCAGGTGTGGCGTTGGTCTAGCCCCAGGCCTGGTGAATTCCGTTTTCTGCGAGTCTTCAAGTGGAGATGGCCCAGCCTAGTCTGATCCATAACAGGGTTTGACTGTAATCAGCCACCTTGGGGGCAAAACCTGCTATGGGGGAGATCCCTGGGCTGGGAATGTAACCACCTGGTTTCTAGGCCCACTCTGCCAAGCGGCAGCCCTGTGGCTTTGCAGGTCCTCTGACGGCCTCAGTTCCCACCATCTGTTAAAGGAGGAACCAGCTTATCCCAGTGGTTTTCCAACTTCTGTGCCAGAGTCCTTGTGTTCAAATCAACTCTGACAAGAAAATGCAAATAAATATAATAGATGACAGAAGATTGGATCTGGTGGGAGTCAGGTGGGGATACCCCACTCAGGGAGGATTCCTGCCTACGGGTGCACGCGCACACACACTCAAGTTCTCTAGTTTTGAAAACTGCAGGATAGTCTGACTTCTGAAATTTCCCAGTCCAAGGCTGTGCTGCGCCTGAAACCAGCTGGTCTGCATGACCGTTGCCCCTTTGCTCTAGAGCCTGCAGGGGAAAGGACCTCATTGCAGGCAGTCCCCAGTCTCTACCCTCATGAGGCCATGGGCCTCCCCTCACCCCTTTCCTCTCCTGGCCCCACGCCCCTCCCCCCAGAGAAAGCGAAAATGCCTGGCCTGCATCAAGCTGGACACTGAGTCTAAAGTCCTGGGCCGGATGGTCCACTGCCCCATAGAGACGCAGGCTCAACAGGTAAGAGTGGGCAAGGAAGAAGCAGAGAGGTTGGGGAGGCGGCTGGTAGGATCCACAGAAGCTGGGCCTTGGGGGAGGTTGAGAGGCAGAAGTCTGGATAGAGTGAGGAAGGACAGGGAGTGGAGAGGTGGAGAGGGTGAGGAAGGGTGAGGGTGTGGAGGGGTGAGGGTGTGGAGGGGGTG